TCTGCGAAGGTATCACTAACTTAATATCTTTCGATTTTATTCTCATTTGATTTCAATGGATATCTTGAGCTGTACGATAATCTGACAGCCTATTGTGGTGGTGTTTGTCGAAGTTATTGCAGTTGATATTGCATATCCAGTGTTCTTCACCCCTGAATACTGGATATCAGCATTAGTCAGGGTGTTGGCGAAGGTTTTCGTAGACCTGTGGAATAGATGCATTCTATTAAATTGTTTTTGTTCGCCTTCCTCTCATCACTATTCTTCACTTATTTTAAAACGTTTGTGATATAAAGAATAATGGTTGTAGTATTTATTGTGTTCAGAACATCTGATATTTATGGTAATTCATCCTGTCAGAAATAGTTTATCCTAACGAATTCATTTCTATTTTTTCTTTTCAACTCCATTTGGCTATTCTGTACATTTTTACTGGTAGACAGTAAGGTCATTGCTGTTACAGTGAAAATTCCAGATTCCCTGGGGTGTACATCTAGTAAAGACTAGCGTATTTACACAGTTCTGCATATCTGTATTTCTGAAATTACTAGACTGTCTTCCGAATGGAATTTATTTATGAATTTATGTGAATCACTTTGTTGATTAACAACATAATAAATCTCATTGGAATTATACGATTATGACCAATGGAGTATTATTAGGTTTGTTGGTATTACATAGACCGATGAAAATAAGAGCTCTGTATTCGTTAAAATAAATAATTTCAATGGTAATCATTGTCAATAGTTGGTTTGTAAGGATTGGATTCGTTTTCACAAGTTGATCACGGATTAATATCACTTGGAGAACCATTGAAAACAAGCTGGCAGTACTGGACAGACAACTTTTTCATCAGCCTAGTACGAGATTATTCATCAGTACGCACTCACCACCACAGTTCGAACCCACGACCTTCTGGTTACAAGGTTCGTAGACCATTCAGTAGGCACTGGGATCCGATCCAATCGTCTGCCCATGAATTCCAAATTCTACCGACTCATGACATAGAGACTGGCCCTATTCATGTAGTTAAACTGTCGTTCTAGTGGGAAGCCGTGAATAGTAGGGTACAGCAGGGTGAAGGTGAGACATGAACTCATCGAAGAAGACATTGGCTAGTGGTCGCGCTATGTCATGAGTTGGCAGAAGTAAGAATTCATGGACAGGTGATTTGATCGGGTTCCATTGGCTACTGAATGGTCTACGAGCACGCTGGCCTTGTAACCAGAACAATGGTGATGGGTTCGTACTGCTGAAGATCCCAGAACTAAGCTGACGTAACAGCTGTCTAGTACTCCCTGGTGGTTTTCTAATGGTTCTCTAACTGATGTCAGCTCATGATAGAATCCTCCAACCAATCAAACAAAATTCTCTACAAAGAAAACCAATACTTGAAAATATTTTATTGTTTAGATCAAAAAATATCTGGAGCAACGGTTCCAGATGGAAGATGAATCTTTTCAAGATTGCACGAATGCTTTTCTGATGAGAATCTAGAAGGTGATCTGCTTACTGAATGACTCCAAATAATACACATTTTATCCTATTGATAAGTCAATGCTTTTACTTCTCGTCAATTACTAAGTAATATAGCTAATCACCATCACAAACAGAAAAGTTTTTCAATCAACAATGTCTCAACTACAGGAGGAATGGACGAGGATGTCAAATCGAGTAAGAATCGGGAAGGCGAGGAACACATTCATCAACCTGAAACCAATCTGGAAATCTTCGTCACTCAGCCAGAATCAACAACAAAATTCGGTCGGATTTTCAATACAAACGTCAAGTCAGTCATTTCTCCTATACGGATCAGAAACTTAGTGGGTCACAAAAAATATTCCCAACAGGCTATTACAGACCTTTATCAACCAGAAAGAATCACCAACAAGAAACTATGGGAACAAAGAAAACAAAACAAGGACCAATCGCCCAACAAATATGCAGGAGAAAGTGGAGACGGGTCGGACACTCGCTGAGCAGGCCGGGCCGCTGGGTGACATCGCGCGTGCGTCAGGCCATCACTTGAGTGGAACTCGAAAGGGAAGCGGCGAGTGGGACGTCAGTGCAAGGGTGACATGGAGGAGATGGTGTGAAGAGGAGTTGAAACAGTATGGACTAAGATGGATGCAGGTGGAAAGTACAGCAGAAGGAAGACAGAAGTGGCAGGTGGAGACGTGCAGTTGACGCCCTATGTTCCACTAGAAACCCAAGGGAACAATAATAAAATAATTATCAAATTTGTCCATCCTCTGTTCATGCTTATTTCATAGCTATTTATGAATTAATTACTGTAAACTTCTCGCTTCTTAGCGGTGCCTTAATTCTCTTTTAGTTTACACATATATCCCAGTAAACCTACAAGACTTGATGATAATAATTCTTTGGAATAAATAGTAAATGTTTATTTGGTTTATTCTTTTCATTTCGTCGCCTTTTTTATTAATTGATTATCAACCCAATATAAATTATACTATAAGTTTACTTATATATATATATTGTCAGCTGAAACTGAATTTTATTGATTGATTGCACTGCTGAATATGTCCTTATCATCGAAAAGTTAGTGATTCAATCGACTAGTCAAGTGTATTACCAACCATTTACTATGCATATTATTATTATTATTGTCATTACTATTATTACCTCAACTACTGCCACTATGATTTCATTAGAAGAAAAAAAAAGAAGAGTTATTTGACTAATGTGTAGGTAGATATTTTATTGAAGATATCCTGATAATTCTTTAGTACAAAGGGTACTCTTAGAAATAGAGATGATGATGATGATAATGATTGAATCAAAAATTGCACTAATAATAAACAACTGGTGTGTGTATAGTTCTACTTTCAAGTGAAGTAAGTACTTAGCAGTTAGTCTACCAAGATGAGTTTTCTTATAAAATTATAATAATAATAATAATATTAATAATAATACAATATTATTTGATAATTGTCCTTCTCTGCATTGGATCACCTAACATTTATTCATTCTTTTATATAATTTAAGATTTTCAAAATTTACTATAAACAGTGTAAACTGCAATAAATCCGAACAGATTTACTCATCGAAATAAGTTCATTAATTTGTGTTCTTTAATTCAATACAGGCCATCAGTATAGTGTGTACTATTTATAACAATAATAGACATAATGTTATATGCAGTATAATTAGCACCTTATTCCATTACTGAAGTGACTGCGGAAAAAAACACAACTGACAAAAAGACAGAAGAACCACTAGGAATTAAGGTTAAACATAACTTGAATGTTGTAAAAGACTGATATCATTTTTAAGGAAGTAGATGGAATGCCAGATTTACCGATAATTATTATTCTTTGTTCCGTATAAGTATTGTATCATCAAATCAATGCGTGCACCGTGGTGGCGAGCTACCTAGAATGGTGGCCACATTACAAACCTCACTGATAGAATTCAGTCTGCACCAAACAAAGGACTAGACACATCACACTAGTTAATAGTGTCCAATCAAAAATATCCAACACAGTCCTACAGGAGGTCAATCGGTATGAGCTCGAATAGCTCAGTGGTAACGTCTCTGATTGAAAGCGGTACTGGGTGACGCGGGTTCGAATCTCCTCCTCAGAAGGGACATGAGTTTCTTTAAGGTTGCAGATACGCCTTGCTGACTGGTGAGTGCCAACTAGCACGAAACCTAGGTCTAGGTCGAAGGCTTCCCGTGGCCGATTGCCTCCAACTATCTAATATCATCAAAGCATTGTATCTGTTCTCTCCAGTCTTTTGTTCTCCACTAATATATCAAAACACTCGTTTTACTACCCACTTTGTGAATTTGAAAAGAAAATTTGGTTAATAATTTTTGGGATAATTGTGAATATGGCTTAACAGTTCAGTTCATTTGAAAATACTCGTGTACTAGTATAGCTTACAATGCTTAAGAGGGAGGCATGTAAACAGTGGTACCTAATCAGCGTTATGATACATTTTTAGAATCTTCAGGTATTTGTTTTGTAAGGGATTTAGTTTGATTGGCTGGAGGATTTCATCATGAGCTGATATCAGTTTGTTGGGGACTGTCTACCGAGCTCAATAACATAACAAGTATGCGAATAAAAATTCAAGTTAATGGGATGTTAGTGTAACAATATATTATCAAAAATTTAGTAATGAGTTATATTAATTAAAAGGTTACTTGAATAAACTGTTAAAGTCCATTGCTACAAATTATAATCCACAGAAGGGTTCACTGTTAGAATCGTGTCTACTGGTAGAAGCTGGGTTCCGGTTGTAAGGTTGTCTTCGGATAAGGATAATAGACTACTGTAACATATCCAAAATATACAACACGGTATGAGTGGAGCAAGTAGACAGTAATGACCAGTGAGAAGGTGAAGCTACCAACATTACACTGTATTTTGGATTGTACTCGGAGGTTATCTGTATTTAAACATGGATCGTTTGAAACAAAAGTCATGTACAATGCCTCTAATTTCAACATCGAACAAAAAGTGTACAATCATATTGTTACGTACTCCACAAGTTAGAGAATCATTGGAAAACAAGCTGGGAGTACTGAACAGCTGTTTTCTCAGCCTAATTCGGGACTCTTCAGCAGTACACACACCCACTGGTGTTTTTAGAGTCCTCAAACTGGCTCTTTAAACTCATTCCAAATGATGCCCTATAATATCGATCCTTTTGTTTAAAAAGAACGTTCAGTGATTAACGATAGACAGCTAGATTTCTAAGTGTGACTACTGAAGTCGAACAAATCCAGTGGTAAGTGGTGGCAGCGTTATGCCCTGAGTAAGCAGAAGGTGGATATTAAATCGAAACATCATCATTTATGACTGATTGCTTTTGTAGTTAAGAGTTTGCAATTATGCGAAAATCATAAAGTAGGTTGAAGAAGATGTTTAGTAGTCCTTGAATTTTAATTATTTCTCTTACTGGTATCAATTTATGAAGAAATCAGCTTTGAGAAAGGCAATAGTACGTGTTCATAAGATGTTGACAAAATGGAAACACAAGCAGATCAATGGAAATTCTCGAACAAAAATCAGAAATCTACCCTTATTAAGGACAAGATTTCTACTACTAATACTACTACTACTACTACTACTACTACTACTACTACTACTACTACTACTACTACTACTACTACTACTACTACTACTACTACTACTACTACTACTACTTCTACTACGTAGTTTTTTCCACTTTTTTGAAACAATGAAACTGGCTTTAACCAGAAGTATATAAAGAATATTAACCTTATTTGTAGTGAGTTTCACATATGCTTGTAATGTGATTATTATTATTTCGTCTAAGCGAGAAAGTTAGTCGCTATTGATTATGAATCGTTATATGACCATTTAATGTCTTCATTACGCTAACATGATAAAAAGAACTGGTGGAGAAGAAAACGAGGCAATGCACTTTGTTTTATGCTAATTGATAAATGATACACTTTAAAAAAATAGTTATTCAGTCTTTAGAATACTTATCAAGATACGTCGGTGGAGCATTCAACGCACTCACTAAGTTAAGCGAAACAAGACGTCTATACTGCTTAATCCTATATTGTGAGACACAGGTTCGAATCACTGGAAGAAGGTGAATTTCTTTCACATTGTAAAAAAGGGTCTTGTTGGAATATGTTATATATTACTATTATGTAATGTGTATTTTTAATTTTTTTTGTCGTTTTTGAGTAAATAGATGCAATATTGTACTGAATGCTGAAAATTCCTTGCTGTATCATTAGTACTGTTTTTGGAATAAAGCGAAAAAAAATTATTATTATTATTATTATTGTCAATAACCATGAAATGTAAGTTCAATGTTTCACACTGACTAATTACTAATATCTAATAACTTCAGCTTTATTGATGAGATTTTCTGAAATAACCTTGTATTCTTCGACTGGTGTTGACATAATGACAGATGGTTTAAAATGAAATAATTTGGGCTGGAGAAGGATTGGAACCAGAAGCCTCTGTGTGAGTAGTATGCAAACTACCAATTTAAGATAATGACACTAGTTTCCCCAAAAGGCTTTCTAATCCATATGACAGCTAAATCTTGTAGCTAAGCGAGCAGAACACTACTCTGGTTATTCTTAAGCCTCTGGGTCGAATCCTGTGAGTTGTGTTTCAGTACCATTTTCAACCCTCATCTAGTCAATATGTCCACGTTCCTTAATTATATTTAGAACTCAGAAGGAGGATTGATGCGTCGGTTGTTCAGCAGTAGTACTCTTACCAACCACGCACTTGGTCCAGGGTTCGACCCCCGGAAGACGAACTCCCAAACCTCACGAAGACGGTAGCAATGCCAGTAAAGAGGGAAGGTTGAGGCTAGCAAGCCCAACCTGTAAAAATAAACCCTACTGCTACCGAGACGTCAAAGATCCAACTTGTAGCTCTACGTTCTAACCGGAATGTTAAGAAATAAAAAAGGAGAATTGATAATACTACTTAGTTATTCAAAATGAATCAAGGGGTTTAGAATCCACTCTTCAGACCCAATGTCTGAAAGTCAACTTCAAACTAGCCACTTCTCAATGATTAAAATGTACTCAGAGCAATCATAGTCTGACACTTTGATTAAAGATTCAGTAGGAGAAACCAGTAATCATTCGTTATTGTCGTGCCAAGAGTAACAATCTTAACCGTAATATTATATCATTTAAATAGTACCCGGGTGGGTGCGTACTGATGAAGAGTCCCAAACTAGAACGAAACAGCTGTCCAGTATTCCCTGTAGGTTTTCCAATGGTTCTCTAACCAATGTCAGCTTATGATGAAATCCTGTAACCAATCAACCAAATCCCTACCAACCAATACTTGAATACGGTTTTTATTGAGACTTGTATCAATACAATATACAATACTGTTTCACTGTGTGATACATTTAATAATCAAACTAATATGGAATTACTTACTACCACAGTGCCCAAGTTTTACACATATATTAACTTGTATCAAGCATTTGCAACTTTACGCATCAGAGCTAAATCAAACAGGAGATTGTATGAAGGAACTGGTTTATGGTGAGTCTTTTTGTTTCTGTAAAGTAATTTTCTTCTGAGAACTTTTCAATGGGATGATAGTCTCTCTTACAAGAGTTGGCAGTCTTGGTTCAATGCTGCAGTGAATGACGCTTTGGAGTTGAAGCGATGGATGTTGGGTTCGATCTCACTGGGAACACTAGTGCTTATTGAGATGCAGATACATCAAGCTGACGGTTCCCAATTGAGGGAGAAGTGCACGTCCTAATCTCCGCTACAAGTTACCACTAAATAAAGTAGCTTCAAGTAAGAAATATAATGGCAGTGTTGACAAATCCGTTTAAAGAGAGAGAGAGGTCGATAAATTTGGCTCAGAAATATCAAACAGGAATTAGAAGTATAAGTAATAAATACTATCATATTACTCTTAAAAACATTTATCTGTGTTGAGGACAATTCATTGTTCAGATACAATATGGCAGTTTAATTTCAAAAACAAAAGGAAGTAAAGGAATGTGACTTGGATTATGTGGACAGAAATTTCGCTACTTCCACTATCAAGCTACGCCCATATACACTTTTTGTCTCTCTCTCTCTTTCTAGCCTTCCTCTTGTCCTCTATTTCCTCTCATTTCTCTTCCTCTCTTTCACTCCTACGGTAGAGAATTAAATCTGGCATTAACCAACACAGCTGTTCTGATCAGTTAACCATAGTGAAGAGCTAAAATATCAGATGATTAGGCCAGATGTGATCGTAGGTTTTTTTGTGGGTTTAGTCAATCTGTCTAATTTTGTCAGGCTGTCTGAAGATAATGGACATACTGAACGATAGAAAAATACAACTTCGCCCAATAAATGCCACATAACCCAGATGTATAAATTCCTACTATGGATTTTGTTCTTAAGTGCACACTGAGGTCAGCCCGCCACATTGAAAATGTCCAGACAGCTGGTTGATCTATCCAACTGAAACCATCTTGATCTTTGTTAAAATAGACAGGCATGGATAGACAGACAGGCTTTGACCGCTTTAAACATAAGGGCGTATACGGAACGTAGAGCAAAATCTATGGCGGACAAACGGACAAACGCATCCTGGCTAAACTACAAAACGAAATAAATTCAATCAATTGTAGGTAGTCATGCCAACACCATAATTCATCTGCCTGCGTTGGTTTAGTTGCCAGGACAGAGGGACACGTCCTTAAGTCTGTGACTACGTCGCTATGCCGCCGTCATATTGCAGGGTAGGTAACATAGAAATTTTAACCTATCAGAACAAATTGAAAGGGTGAGACAGAAATAGACGTGTATGCCATCTGTTATGCTTTAATTGCTAAAACGACCTCTATCAGGCCACACAGCGTCAAGTTTATAACTCGGGCAGCGATATTTAGCTAGTGGTCGATGCAGCTAACAATGTAACAATAGCGATGCCATTTGTGGCCTTATGATTTACATTTTTAGGGAGTTTCGAAAAGTTGGGTCATCCTCCGGATGCTTCTGTATACGTATATAAATGTTTGTGTGTATGCGTAGATAAGGTTAAACATCTTTCTGTGTATCTGTTCCCTTGTTCTAATTCACCTAAGAATAAGCTTGAAGTATTGGCTACGTGCAAAGGTTTTCATAAATATTTTTATGAATGCATTCTTTTAGATACTCTGTATTGTGAAGACACAGTTGACCGTAAATTTAAAATTTTCCAGAAGGGTAGATGAAAAGAAAGAAATTCAATTGTTTTTCGTTAGCTTTTGTTTAGGAGTGGTTAGTTGGCATATTTTCAGTTGTCATCGATTTTTTCTTAGGCAGAATTTAGGTCTCGAACCAAAACTCATTAGAGAGCAGTCAGAATCTAAGAATTTACTGAATTACTTGCACCTTTCCTTCAAGGACGGAATTCGATCTGAAGAGATTAAATTCTATGAGCAAACAAAGAAAAGTAAGGGAATGAGAGCTTTAAGGTTTACTATGTTTTGGACTAATATTATGACTTCGATACTTTCATAACGAATATACATGAGTACTAAACAGTCATTAGGATGCCAAAATTTCATTAGTGAACAGAGACTACAGCACAATACTGTTTATTACCAATGAAACAGTTGTTTTCAGGAAAATTTTACATTCCCCATCGATTGATGATGTTGAGCCGAAATGCTTCGTCTCTCTTGACTTGTTGTCTCCCTGTACCGACTCTTCGATAATACCTAAGGATTAACGTGAAGTTATTTTTGGTTGGTGGTGACTACCAACGGAAACCTGGATGCGTATTTCGTCCTATTTAAGACTCTTCAGAAACCTAGTATTTCCGTCCAACATAATCAATCCATGGAAAGTGAAAATTAAGTTGAAAACAAATAATCGTTGTACAAGACATAGGTCTCTCAGCCATCATAGTCTCGTGGGTAATGCTTTGGCGTTCAGAACTATGAACGAAGGATTTCGACTCTCAGTGGGAACACTGTGCGTCGGTGGCACAGTGGTTAGGACTCTCGCCGACTATGCACATGGTTCGGGGTTCGATCCCCTACCGACGCACACCCGATATCTATGGTCGGTCTACGAAATTTGGGCTACCGATATCCATGCTGAAAATTCCATACTTGTACCAAAAATGCTGTGTGGAATCAAGCTGTAAATCAGAAATCAAAATCAAACCATCACTCCCTGAGAATGCAGGCTATACGTACAGATAACGAGTCCTGTGCAGGACGAAGTACTCATCCTGGATTATACTGCTAGTTAACACCGACTAGAAATAACATCACTGAAATATACTGAATAAAGTCAGAAAAGAATAAAACTCAGATGTTCTTTCCCATACCAGGGTTATAGGAATATTCTGGTTAGCATAAGAAACATGACATTGTGTTTGGATAGGGAAGTCAGTCAACCAAAAAAAGCTAGATCAGCTTTTCTCGCTAAAATGAATATTTGAATTTGTGGATGGTGACTAGCAGTGGAATCCAGGATGCGCATTTCGTCCTATTTCGGACTCGTCAGGTGGATGTACCTGCATTTCACAGTGAGTGATGATGTTCCCATTGAGGCCCTAACCCAGTGCCCTTAGTTTCAAACGCCAAAGCGTTATCCACTAGACCACTTGGGCCACGAGAGCCAGCTCTTGTGCAACGGGTCATGTTAATTTAATTGAACTTTTAGATTTTCTCGTCGATTGGTTCGACCAAAGT